GAACTATTAGGAGTTGTCAGGTATAATTAAAATTACATAATTCATAAATAATAAATAACTTTATTTTCCAATTACTCTTCTATCTAATTATACATCAGTGCTTAACTGATATTTAGCTGTGTCAGTACCTCAGTCTTTAAGTAAAAGCAAGAAAAATATTTTGTGTTAGAGTCCACCTAACCAGCATATTACTGGCATTCAGGTATTTTTCTCACACACAAAAAAAAAAATATAGACAATCTAAAATAAGAGTGTAAGTTGTCTAGATCACTATGTCAACAATGAGAGACAGGTATGCTCTAAGGCTTTTGAGGGGAAAGTTAGGCTAAGCAACAAGGTTTCATCCAGGACTCATATTTCACAGTTTGCTGTTAGGTATGGAAAAGACCTTAAAATATGAGTCTAAAGGGTATAAGGAGAAGGAATACCTAGAAAGTGGCTATTGGAGTAGTCTAAGGCACTACACACTAGAACAGTTTCCTGTATAACTCTTCTGGAGATTAATGTTAAAACTGGGTAAGTAACCAAGAATAATTTCTTTATATGAAGACTCAACTTGCCTGGGCAAGCGTGCTCAGAGGCACTGTTTGCCTCAGATCTCCGGAATAATTTGTAATAGCTTTTTGCTCTCCAGAAGCTATATTACTGATTTCTTTCCTGTTTTTTAAAATTTGTCATTAGTTTGTACTTTAGCATAGTATCAATGTATCAGCTGGCACACATGTTGCTATTCTAAACTACTATTGCAATGGCCGGATTCTTCCTGCGCTCTTAAACTAAAAGGCAATTTTTCTCAGGTTTGCCATAAAGTCTTGAATTTGACCTCTGAACTCTATATGACTACTCAGAGGGTCAATCAGATGGTAAAGTTACACCACTGACTGAATCTTCCATTATGGTTTTAACAATCTCTCCAGTAGATAACCCACAGGCAAATCACATACCACTTTGGCAGCAATGCTAGAATTGTACTCATTTACAAAGCTGTCACTGAATTTGCAGTGGTGCCTTGTACTTAGAAGATAATTTGTTTTAATTTACCTGAAATGATCTATCTCTGCACATACTTTACTGATATAAATATACACATGCTTTATATTTGCATTATTCAGTATAGAAGATACTCCGTCTTTAGTAGCTGCTTCACCTGCTTCCCAGGTTAGGAAAAGAACAGCAAATATTCAGAACAGTTATGTTTTCATCTAATTTGGAATATACCATGATGTAATATTTTCCTGTTCATATTCAAAATATAAAGTCCCACATCAATAAAATTTTTAGCATGAATTTCTTTCCATGTTAATTCAGCTATCACATACTATCCTGTACATAATGAAGTGTGCACCATTCCACTGAATCTCAAACACAATTGAATGGAAAGGAGTCAGGTGATTTTACAAGTACACTAGTTCTGTAAAGACAAGTTCTCTGTGTGAAGGGTGTAACATGTTTTTACCTTTTTTTCCCATATAGTCAAGGAAAAAACATTAATCACTAGCACGGTAAGGTATAAAGTTTACACCTTTGATTCAGTTTATCAGCATTTTTAACTTTCATCTTTCAGTAAAAAAATTACAGAGGTATTACATAAGAAATCCTAGACAATATATTTGTAATGTATTTGAGACAGAACACTGTTTGCAACTGTTTAAACAAAATCTGATGTGAACATACTTCTGCTTGGCTGGCTTTCAAGCATCACTTTAAAATAACTATTGAGATAGAAACACCATTATTCATAAAAATAACAACAGCAAGATAATAATAAAAATGTGCTAGCTAGAACTCGTGGCACCATTATTGCAGATAATCGCAAAAATAAGGAGATTTGTTTAAAAATCAGGGTATCTAAAAATAACAAGTTAAAGTCTGAAGCTCCACACTCCATGTTTGCCCTTCAGTTGCAATTTCAAGTTTTCCTTCACAAAGAAGATTATTAGAAAGTCTTATCTTTTGAAAAAAAGCCGGAATCCTCTTGGTCCTAGGACTCATGGCTTCAAAATAAAAATAAACTACTACAGGAATCATGGTATAATCAGGAAATCTGTTGGCCCCATGGCACGACAAAACAGTTACATTTGGCTTGTTTGATCTAGAATACAATTTACTAGCCCAGACTTCACAAAGCCAGAGAGTTTGTTGAGTGCAGCTTAGCCCCAAGAATGGACCTGATTATCAAGAAGAGCTACAGACACAACCTCATGTCAAAGCCTTCTGCTGCCATGACTTGCATATGGAAAATGTTAGAGAACCTAAACAACTAAAGCAGGCAAGAGGAACAAAAAGAGAACAGCAATGACTTTCATGTGCCCCATAAATATACCTTGGCAGTGAATCTATCTGCAAGCATAACACACTAGACAATTAGGGGAAATTTTTCAAAAGTGTTATCTTAACTTTTAATGCAATATTACTTGCCTGGTTTTCATAGGAAAAATTTTGGCCTATGTAAACCTCAAGTTCTCGTATTGAGTTGCATGCGAAAGCTGGCCTGCAACCATTCCTTGTGCTGTTTCAGAGGCTGTGAAGAAGGGCCTTTGAAAGTTGAACCTGTTAGTTACCTTCTAATGCAGAGATAAAATACCTTTTCTTTCCCTTGATCTCACAGCGTTTTCACAAGCTTCAAGTGAAAATAAGTGTTAACTCCTCTAAGTAATTTTTGCAAGATGTCTCCGGTAAATTGCCCGCGAGATTGTAAGTAGGTTCACCAGATAGCTGGAGACCCTTAAGGTGTCTATTAGAAAACTGTACTCATGAAAGACTTTCTTATTGATTGCAACCATTATTAGCTCAACTGGCCTGAGACAGAGAATAAATATGCATTATATCTCTTGAGAAAACAAGTTTCACAATTATACAGATTTTATTAGACAAACGAGATTTTTAAAAGCTTGTATGGTCAGTTCCTCTTTAGAGAGGTTTGTCCAGCTTGGAATCATTATGAGAGCTAACAGCAGCTCTCTGTATTGTGTGATTCATCTGTCCCTACAGATAACCCTATATATCACTGCAGAGTGTGCTGATTAGAAGGGATGTTACTAGGACCCAGAGGCCTAAATTGCTGTGTGATGCTGCATTAACATTTCACATTTATTAACTCAACATATAAACTATTGATCTGAAAATAAAATTAGTGGTTGCTCTGGCACAGTAGTGAATAATAGCTCTTCATAATGGAAGAAATTCTCATTCGTGATTTCATAACAGTAAACATTAAATTTCCTTATTATAAAGGCATTTAATTAGCAAAGATTTTCATTTTTTCCCAATACCACAGGGGGCCAATCACTATTCTGAGCACATATCACTTAGGTGCATAAAAATTTGCATTGTGCAGTTGGTTTTTCTTTTGAGAGAATGTCTGGAAATGTAACAGGATATAGATATGGCACAAGTATTTTCTGTATAAAATTAAAATTCAGTTCAGCAGAAACTGTGCAGGAAGGAAATGTATTTGGAGGTTCTGTTTCCTCTCTGTCTTCTTGTTCTTCGTGATTCCCTGAAAACTTTGTAATGGACATTATTACCCCAAAAAGAAAATGGTTTTGTTGTTTGATATAAAATATCCCTGAAAAAAAAAAAAGGTTTTTAACAGGGTCCTGCTACTTTTGAACATCTTCTTGCCTCACGTAGGCTACAGCTGCCATTTAAAACCGTTTCACTGCATTTCACTGATGCCTCCGACTCAGTTTACTTCAATTCTCTCTCCGCCGTGTAGTCCAATGCTGTGAAACAGAAATTAACAGTTAGAAATATGTTGGTATACACATATGTTGGTATTCACATCAAGTGAATGACTTTGTGTCCCAAATACTCACTTGTGCTGTGTATGGTGTCTCCACCATAACTATTAGGCTTATCGGGCTAATCATTACGGCTGTCTTGTTGGTCTGATTCGGAGAGACCGCGGTCAGCATCTCACCACTCAGTTATGCTTAGGCCGGCAGATGCACTGAAAAGTGAGCAAAATGTTTTGAAACATAATAATGCAGTGTTCTCTCAGAGCTGTTGCACCAAACTTAGAGTTATCTTGAGTGATGTTGTAAAAGCGCATATGACGTCTGGTGAGCATTTATCTGTGCACATGCCCAGTCCCTATATGTGACAGGAAATATTCGTACCCTCAGTGGGTCCTAAACATTTTCGTCTCAATGCAAATCAGAGGCCATCCTCAGAAGAGAATCTTTGTGACATGTTGACAATGTATATAATATAGCATCTGCAATTTGGAAAGCATGGTATCATTGGGCACTTAGGATGATTTGTTTTGGGGGGGTTTTTTGTAGTAATGTACACCTTTCTACCTTTATAACTATACTAAATTTGTATATAGCAAATGAGATTGAATTTGTAATGCTTATATGTGAATGGAATATGTATTGTTGTTAGAAGATATGAATTTTAGCTCTGGACTCAAAGTAGCTCAGCTATCTAAGTCTGCTTCATGGAATGGCTGAATGGAATGAAACAGCATTGTGGACACAAGCATGAATTCCTAATTATTTTGATGAGAGAGAAGGGGAAAGAGAAGATGGAAAAATACAATTTAGCCTATGTATTTTTCTTTCAATCATGGTTTTCAAAGGCTAAAATAGATGCACAAAGCCACAATCCTCACAATTGCTCCCTGCAAATACGTTGGTTTCAAGTGAGAATTCAGCACTATTTGGAATAAGGAAAAAGAAAAAAATAAAATTATTGTGATTAAATATTTCCTTTCCCAACTAGTACTGCTAATTTGACTACAACATTAAGCTACTCGAGACAGTGTTTGAAACTTGGTTTCAGCTCCTTACAGGCATTGTCTTAATCACCTCTTGCTACTTGTGTATCTCTCACCATTTCTGGCCTCTGTTTAGGGGCTGTGGAAATGCAAGTTTTCTCTCCATCTTTTTATGTAGCAAACCCATACCCGAAATGAAGAAAGGGTCAAACTGGTGGTTAGATATATTGTCTTTCATTCCAGGGCTTCCTATAAAAGTGCGACTAAGACAGCTGTGGTGGAATCAGACTGCCAAGAACGCCTTATAACACAAGGGTATATCCAACTGGTTTATATAACCTTAATTCAAGCAGCACAACTAATGATAATGATATGCTACAGTATTATTATGCCAGGAATGTATGAAATCAAGAGAGAACATTTCATTTTAAACTTTGCTGATTTTTCCCATTTGCTTAGCATTTTCTCTAATGATTTCTTGCACTGTTTTTATGCCACCTCAGATAAAATGCCATCATACATGATATTCACACCATTAGGCACAAAGTAAGCGTTTCTTATGATTAGAGGCAATGCTGTGAAGCATTAAAATATGTACAGGAAATAGTTTTTAAGCATACTCTCAAAGACTGTGAAGCTTGAGTGTAATTTGCTTTCACCATGCCAGCTGGGTGATGTTCTGCATTTCAACAAAGCTAGCTACCATTTCCAAACAGTTCCATACAAGATTTTTAGTGTTCATATTTGAGTGAGAAGTCCAGTAAAAAATACTCTCACACACACACAGCAGAAATCCAGTGAATCTATCTAGAGGGAATTAAGTGAAACAAAACACAATAATTACAATTAATCACCAGTAAACATGATCATAATGACGTCCTTTTCAAGGAAAGGAAACCCTTTTCTCTCATAAGCTGCATGTTGTCAAACAACACCTCTAATATTTGGGTTTTACTATGACTCTAGTCTTTGTGGAGCATAACGGCAATTTTGACTTAGACAAGGGGTGAATAATGTAATTAGATTGAATTAATAAAACTCATGCTTTTGCACTATTCTCATGTCAGTATGGGAATTTTTCTCAGCTATTTCCTAATGCCAAAATCTATGGGAGTACATTTCCATGGGATTAAATCTCTAGAATTATTCTACAATTATTCATCCTCTGGCTTGTGAAGAAGAAAGAACAAGACTATTTTTAAGCTGTGTGAACTGTTCTTTCAGCATTTGGCTAGGTCAATTAAAGTGCAGTAAGTAGAACACGTGAAAGAAATGCTGGAACAAGCTAAGACCAGCTGAAATCAAGTCCCTTGGTATACATTAGTCCAGACCTTTTCGTGTTCTAGTTGCATGTAAATTATTATAATTTTTCTTTGTATTTGTGTTTTCTTAATTTATTTACCCAGAAAAGCTGACCTAAGGTCCAGAATCTGATTTTCCATGAGATCACTGTTTGCAACACTACTCTTTTTGAACCATCAAAGACATAAAAGGCATTCAGATGATTTATTGGAGTGGATCTTGCTGCCAACATCTACCCTGGTGTGAACGATATGCATGATTCCGTTGCACTTCATGACCATTAACCCAAAGCACTCAAAGATGGAAGACAAAAATACTGTTTGTGTAAAAAACTTTAAGGTTCCATATATCCACACTACTTGTGCAAGAGAGACTTGCCATAACTTCACATCTACTTTTTAATTTTGATATTGATCATTTTAACAAAGAAAAAAAAAGGCCTAAACATCTAATTTAGAAAATAACATATCTTTCTGATGAAAACGGTTGTTTGTCCTCAAAACTGGGGTGATTTCGTAAGGCAGGATTGAAATCTTGACTTACAGCAGCATACACCTATGCCAAAATCTTCTCACAGAATGGCTGAGGTTGGAAGGTACCTCAGGAGTTCGTCTGGTCCAGCCTCTGCTCAAGCAGGGCCACCCACAGCCAGTTGCCCAGAACTGTGTCCAGACAACTTTCCAATATCTCCAAGGATGGGGAATGTCACACCATCCCTGGGCAAACTGTGCCAGGGCTCCGTCACCCTCACAGTGGAAAAGTATTTCCTAATGTCCGGAAATCTCAGACTCCTTTCCTCTGTTTCTTTGTTTCTATGGAACACAAGGAAGTGTCAAGCTCACGAGACCTGTGTCCCTCCATACAGCTCAGAGAAGGCAGCATGAAGACAGCTCTACTTTGCTCCTCTACAGGTGAGCTCAAATATCCTCTAACTTGCATTTCGATAATAAAAATGCTTCTGGAGACATCAGAAAAAGAATGATACAGACTACCAACAGAGTAGAGACCTCACCAAAAATACCAACATGATAGAATCATAGAATCATAGAATCAACTGGGTTGGAAAAGACCTCCAAGATCATCAAGTCCAACCCCTGATCCAACACCACCGTGGTTACTAGACCATGGCACTAAGTGCCACATCCAGTCTCATCTTAAAAACCTCCAGAGACAGTGAATCCACCACCTCCCTGGGCAGCCCATTCTCTGTCTGATTACTCTCTCTGTAAAAAATTTCTTCCTAATATCCAACCTAAACCTCCCCTAGCACAGCTTAAGACTGTGCCCTCTCGTCCTACTGCTGGTTGCCTGGGAGAAGAGACCGAAGCCCACCTCACTACAACATCCTTTCAGGTACTTGTAGAGAGTAATGAGGTCTCCCCTGAAACTCCTCTTCTCCAGGCTAAACAGCTTCTCTCACAGGACTTGAGCTCGAGTGCCTTCACCAGCCTCATTGCTCTTCTCTGGACCTGCTCCAGCACCTCAATATCCTTCCTGAACTGAGGGGCCCAGGGCTGGACACAGTAGTCCAGGTGTTGCCTCAACAGCGCTGAGTACAGGGGAATCACTTCCCTGGTCCTGCTGGCCACACTTCCTGATACAAGCCAGGATGCCATTGGCCTTCTTGGCCACCTGGGCACACTGCTGGCTCATATTCAGCTTCCTGTAAATCGAGACTTATGATGCTTGCATGACACTTGATACAACATGCTTCTCCCTCTGCTTTGAGTTTCCTGTCTCAAAAAATTATTAAAAAGAAAGGTGTTTACTCTGAGAGGAAGGGGCATTTCCCTGGTATACAACAGGGCCTAAGAGAACAAGGAAACATCACCACAGGAAAAGAACTTTCAGTAAGGCAGGAGGCAGCTATATCATCCAAAAAAAAATCTACCCCCTCCTGTTCACAATGAAGTCAGATGTTGGCTTCCCTCCATTTGTGGTACTATAAGACTAGAAAGGGGATGTTTTTGTTGTCATTTTCAAACAGATCTTTTAATCAGTTGCTAATTGACAGGGAAAGAATCAGAAAATGCTGAAATACTTGTAGGGTATTTTTGTCTCAGAGGTGATAACAGCAGAATAATGAAGAAACCTTAAACTTCCAATACAATTCAAATTAATATAAATCATCAGAACAGGCTACATTTGGAGGAAACTTGTTGTTATTAATGATTACATCAGCTAACTGTTATGATTCCAGAAGGGACAATAGCACCCAGTTAATACCTCATATCATTCTTGTGAAAGTGGCTGTTAAATACCAAAACCTGTTATTCTTCTTTCAAGAAGAGAAAGATATCTGAAAAAACGTCATTGCAAATCAGCTTAATTTATCCGGCGCTGAAAACACAAATCTGTCTTCCTTCTAACTTTCTTATTTCATGATGTTGCTGGTAGAAAAGAGCAGAGCTGCTATTACTTAGAGCTGTATTTCCACACCTTTATGTGTGCACATTGCTTTGAAGCACAATTTAACCATGAATTTCCTGGGCTTGTAATGATGGGGTTTTTGTGTGATTACAGCACAGCCATGATGCTCCTGTATTATCAGTGCATGTATTTAAATGTCACTGAATTCTGACATGTTTTTGCCCTGAAGGTCTAATCAGATGGGAAGTATGGAATAAACAGAGATGGAGGCCTTTGCATACATAACATATTAGCCTGTGGCTTTTGTCACTTCCATGGAGTATTCAATTATCTGAATCCATATATTTTTTAATAGGATTTGGTGTTGTGACATGCTTTTGTCCTTTAATCTAGTGTGTGTTGGTACTCAATATGAAAAGCTAAAATGTGCATGTTTTCTTTGAGTCAGCCAGATAATTGATGGCAAAGGAGCACTGGTTTATCTTCAGATTGTCAGAAGTACTGGCCTTCATAAAATTTCTCTGGTCATTAATGTACTAATCTTTTAGTGGTGGTCTACTGAGAGTAAGGATGCTATCAAGGCACCACCCAGATCCTTTCTAAGGTAAAGATGAGCCATAAACATCAAACCTGAAATGGCTACTCTGGATTTCAATGCGGATTTGGGATTAAGCAATTGGGTACTGTTTTACATGTGAATAGGCTGACAGCAGTACAAAGAGAAAGTCAGAGAGCTCGGTGTTAGCCACTTGGTTTTGAAGCACAAATGTAACATCTGAGGGAAAAAAATGGACAGTTGCCAGTAGCATGGGTTCAGCTAAGTCACATAAGGAATTTATTTTTGCAGAAAAAAATTTTTACACATTATTTTATTTGAAACAGTGATACTTGAATTACTTGTAAAGTCTTGAAATTTATTTAGCTACTCTAGACTTATCAGAATTCATTACAAGACATTTCATTTTGACATAGGAAATGTCTTTACTTATTTAAAAGAGAAGATAAAAACATACCAACCCTCAATATTCTAAACATGGAATTAGTGTCAGATAAGTGTGGTCATAATCATCCCCTATCTGAGACTCTGGAATGAGATGTTCTTCAGGTTTTAAGAAGGCCACAGCATCCCATGGCAAATGGATAGCTGTGAGTTGATGTTTTTCCCTCAGAAGAGCTTAGAAAAAAGTTGTCATGTGCAGAAGGAACAGCTGTGCCATATATCTTTCAAATCTACAAAATATTTGCGTTAAATCACAAATGAACCTCTAAGAAATAACTTCAGAAAAGCCTGACTACCCTTTCAGGATATGCAATCTAATCAGCACCAAGGGAAAGGAGGAATGGATTAGAAATAGCAGGCTCTGTTTATTTTTGTCTGGGAACTATGGAATGTACATTTATGGTTTTGTTTGAGAGCTCAGAATTTATAAATACAGTCTATAACTCAGCATTATTGACCCTGTACTCTCCAAATAACTTACATCACCAAAAGAGACATTTAGAAGAGACTTTGGATAAAGCCAAAATTTCAAATTCATCTGTGTTTTAGGGAGCAGAGACATTTCATCTGCAAATTTTCAGGCAGGAATCAACTGGTTCTGGACTAGTTCTGAATCATTTTTTCTGGCTCAGATTTAGTTGCCTCTATTGTCCTTTAGCAAAAATGGATTTTGTGAGATTTCTGCTCTCATAAGCAGAAGTCTCAGAAATAAACTGCAAACTGAAACCCCACTTTAAACTTAGATTATGCCAAACTGCACAGTCTATTTTCAAAGTTGTCCTAATATAAAAATTAGTTTGAACTATTTGAACTAAAAGTTGAACTCTTAGTAGTAGAGCTGGTTTACCTTAACACTTTGGCCTACCTGAAGAAATCAAGTGTACTAAATAGTTTCCTCTTCCCTGGTGAGAAGGAAGAGAGGGAATGCACTTGTTCACTCATATATGTTAGCAATTTTGGTGATGAACACCTAAGTGAATAGGCTGCTTTGCCAATGTCATGCTGATGTGTCCAGAGGATGGGGCTGGAGGCTGGCATCACTGCCTGTGCAGCTACCAGCACTACAAATTGTTCTTGGGCCCATATGAGAACAGATCTTCCCAATCCAAAGACAGCTTTCCCTTTTTCACCTTCCTGAACTTTTTCTTTCTTCTCTTACACTACTTACAGCCACACTCCCTCTCTGTCATTGCCCATCCTTGTTTCTTTGCCCCTCAGGTACTTCTTTCCATTCAATTTTTTCTACACTATTTGCTACCACCACCTTTCCAGTTCTGTTCCTAATATAACCCAAAGCATGCAGTCCTTTCCCAAGGTCTTCCAGAAAATCCTGCCCATTTTACCTCGCTGTCATATGGTCCTGTCTGGCAGAGCACTGCCTTGCTCTCAGAGAGTGTGGGGAAACATCATCCTCCCCTCACCCTCTCATTCTCCCTGTGCTTCCTGACATTGTCCTCTGAGGCAGTGCGCAAGAGACAAGGCCATGCTACCAAAAGGGAAAAAAGTAAAATGAGAATTTTACTGGTGCTCTTTATGGGTGGCTTTTCGGTTGAGTGGGAATAAATATCTTGAGCAAGTTTGGCTCCAAACGACAAGAGAGGAGGACAGCAAATAGCAGAGGCTGATGCAACAGGCCCACTGCCTGCAATTAATGCCAGAGCAAAGGCTGGCTGCTGCCCCATGGGACAAGGGCCATGTGAAAGAACAGTACCCCCAAGAATGTATGGCAAAAAGAGTTGATCACTCTCAAGAAGACTTCTGCACATGGGGAGTAATGATTTGCACTTTGATTTGGGGAAATGAATGCACTGTACTATGCACCGTATACTTCCACTCACCTGGAAGACTGGAAGAAAAACAATTTGTAACTAGGACCAAGATCACCTATCAAAGAGATCATGATAAAATGGCTGACTATTCCTGACCTTGTGACTCCCTCCAGTAGCTGTGCTCCTCTTCCCACACAGCTTACCAGTGGAAAGTGTATTATTTTTGTACATCTCATGAAAAAAAGTAACTTTTATTTTGCTTACAGAAAATTAGCCAAGGCTAAAATCAGGCTTAAAATGGAAATTATCCCACAAATTGGATTAGATATACATTTTACTGACAAGCTCTTGAATACTCCTTTTATATTTTTTAAAAATTCTCCAGAGATAACTTTCAGTCCTAGAGTGGCTGGAACAAACGATGGGAAAAGTCTGATCAGATGTTGCTGGTCCACCGATCTCCATGAAACATGAGTCATCTTTATCACTATAGAGAGCATTCTGGGGAGACTAACAATTTGACATGGATGCCATTCATCCATGTGCATGGAGCCAGCACCCGGCCAATGCATGGTATAAATTCCGCATAATCCCTCTTCTGTAGGCTTCAGGGCTATAGGGGCTTTATCCAGACAATAGAGAGCCAAGAATTTTACCCATGGGAAGTGAAATAAAAACAATTCAAGACAAACTGTGAGGAAAATGCCACTGATAAAGGATTGCAGGAACATGTTTGGAGGATGCCTCTGCCTCTACTTCATTGAACACTGGG